ACATGGTACATACAAAAAACAAAAATAAAAAATAAAAATATGCCAGACTCCTCATCAGAAACAGTGCCAGTGAGAAGACAGTGGAGCAACATCTTTAAGGGACTGAAGGGGTCGCGGGAGTGAATGTGTAATTGCATACCTCCTCCCCAAGAAATGTCTTTCAAAAATGAAGGTGCATAATGACATCTACAGACATATAAACGCTGAAGGAATGCATCACCAGCAGACCCACACTATGAGAAATGTGAAAGGAGTCCACTGATACCGGATGGAAATCTGGATGTACACCAAGGGATGAAGGACTACAGAAGAGGTACTTGCATGGGGAACTATGTAACATTTTTCTTATTACTTAAATCTCTTTTTAAAAAAAGTGAGATTAAACCAAGTAGTAACGATGGACTGTGGGGTTTATAACCTATGTAGAGTGAAATGCCTGCCAACAACAGCAAAAAGGCCAGCGAGGGGAATGTGAAGAGGTGTGGCATGACTTGAAGAAAGACTATGCTGTGGTTAGCTACCGACGTATGCTATAAAGCTGAAAGCAATAGCCGAAATAACCAAACCAAAGAGTTACAGCTAATAAGCCAACAGAGGAGTGGAAATGGAATCATCCAGAAACCATGTAAACACTGTGATAGAGCAATGGCTCTCCGGGGGCTCTTCGCTAGAGAAGCACTCGTACAAGGGGCCAAAGATACGTGTTCAGGAATGAGGACTACAGCATTACTTGCAACCATGAAATCATAGAACCAGGTTAATCTCAAAAGTATATGGAAATGGTTAAACCAACACTAGTAAGTACAAAGACGGAAGAAACTCCGTTGTTAAGAAGGAATTCACAGTAACGATGACTCAAGTGAGCCGACTTTCAGCCAGCCAGCGACCTAGTTTTCCTGGTGCGGTTCTGGGCCGGCCTCAGTGATGACTTGAGGAGCTTAGGTTCTCCTGTCGTACACAAGACGACGCAGAGGTCAGGAGCGTAGTGGCGGGGGCATGCCCTCTTTGGCCGTGAGAGGAGAGGATGCACAGAGTGGAGAGAGAACCTCAAAGATCTTAGCTCTCTCAAAAGGGCAGGCTGGGCAGGCTGAACACGTCCCTGGGTGGGCTCGAACCACCAACCTTTCGGTTAACAGCCGAACGCGCTAACCGATTGCGCCACAGAGACGCCCGGACGACGCCTTCTCTCAGGCTCAGGGACAGCAAGTTCGGCTTCCGCGCTCGGCGCAATCACTCGCCTTTCTCAGGACCGCGGTGCCGGCTCCAAAGCCTCAGAAAACCCGGGAAGTGGAGTCGACGCGGCGTGTTCGTCCGGTGGGAAAGCCGTGCGTCGGGCGATTCCGAAGGCAGAAGGCGCAGCCGAGCGGGAAGCCGGAACCCAGGTGGTGGGGAGGGTCGGTCAGAAGGGACGAGCGGGAAGAGGCGGGGAAGAAGCCCGCGAGGCGGGGAGGAGGACAAGGAGACTTCCTAGGAGGCCTGTGCAGAGACACGTGCGGATCTGGGGAGACGAGGATTGGTTTGGGGCTTGGTTTGGTTTGGTTTGATCATGAGGTATCAAACTTGAGAGGAAGAGAGTGCAGAATGGAGAGCGGGCGTGAAAGAGAGAAGAGTGCAAATACCTGAGGTTGTCCAAAAACCAAAGAGCGCGGTAATCGGAAAGATTTGACGTCAACAGTGCTCCAGCAAGCCGCAGGACTGTCGCAGCGAGCGTGGCGCGCCGTGATCGTATAGTGGTTAGTACTCTGCGTTGTGGCCGCAGCAACCTCGGTTCGAATCCGAGTCACGGCACTGTCCCTGCCTCCCGCGGGGAAGGCGGTTGCTTCTCTTTTGATTTGGGGTTAAGCTTGACAGGGGCCTGGGGGCCACAGAGCACTGCTTTTTCCCTGGCCACCGGGCGCGATGAGGTCAGGAGAAGGCAAGGAAACGCTACAGACCGCTAACCTGGGGACCTTCTCTACTCCGTGTCTGAGCAGAAGGGAACCGAAGGAAGCCTTTTATCTTCTACCCCAAACTGGGGAAATCTTTCATGCCCTAGCTGCCCAGTGAGGAGCCTCCTGTGCTATCACCGGCGGGAGATGTTGTTTCTGGCTTACTCAAAATCTACAGGATCTTAAAGACCACAGACAAAATTTTTTTATCACATAAGGGACTCCTCCTCCCTAGACCTGTTTAGCTGGTTTAACCTTGGCTGCTGGGAATCTCTGCTCTGAGGACTTTCTCAATCCTTGCCTATCGTTTCCCCTTATAGTCATCATAGTAACCTCTCCAGTGCCCGTCTACTCTCAAGGATTTTAAAGGCCTGTCGGCAGCCACTCGCGAGACAAACAGTATCCATCAGGACTGGACAACTGGAAGAACTTAACAAGAACCACATACATGGTGATCGCGGTGATTACCTGACCCTCCGGCCTGAGGACTCAACTAGTGGAAACAGCGAATGCCTGATTCTTCCGCCTGACTACATCCGTGCTGGTGACCGAGGGTCACATTATACTGAGAGCATGACCGGAAGTGGGGGGCGGGATGGTTCAAATCAAACGCAAATGGAGATCAGACTTGACAATTCCCTGAGC